TATATATATATATAATTTTTTTTTTACATTTTACTCAATGTATGAATAAAATATTGACTGTGACCCAGTCCTAATGTATGATTATGTCTAGACAGACAGTAGCTAAGGTCTACAGAAAGGGAACATTTTGGACCGTAAAATGTGTGAGGTGTTTCCAGAACCTCTAAAGTTGCCGCGGTAAAAAAGAACAGTAAATAGACGGGAGAAAGGGAGAGATTTTCTTCGCTGAGGTTTAAGCCACTTTAACAGCCACTTTAATGGCCGGTCTGTCCAATTCTCGCACCAGTGTAGGTGAACGCGTGCGCCAATTTAGTCCACTCCTCGCTGTCCTGTTCTTCTGTAGCAGTGTGTGTAATGGAGTTAACAGCTGGACACCACTTCTTTTAACTCGGCCTACTCATGGGCTTTCTGTAGCTCCTTTATCTTTGTTGCTCTCGTTTCTCCCCTTCCATCTTCAATTCTCCCGGCGACCAGTTTAGGCAGCTTGATTTTCCTCCGGGCGAAGCGCCACAAAAAGGTGCACCTTGCTCGGTCTGAACTGTTGCTGGTTCCCCTGTCAAGCAGCGGCGGCTTTTGTTCCTTTACTATCAAGGTTGGGTTTTAAAGGAGATTAAAAGAAAACTCTGGCTTTGGGTGTAGTCTTCAGGTTTCTCCTAAGTCTAGAATCCTAGAGGGGAAACATCTTGAGTTTCTTTACGGAAAGGACATTAAGTTGCAAAGCTGGACAATATAGAGATGGGGGGTGGAGGAAGATAATTACATTAAAAGCAAAATGTCTAACATCTGATTTTCCTTCACCAATATAAACATGTTTTATGGGATCCTCTGGTAAAGATGTGCAAAAAGCCTGTTGCAGAAGCATAACCGCACACCACACCAATTTACTTCAGTTCTCTAACATTAAGTATGGTAGATCTCTCTCTTAGCGTCCTCCTGAATGTGGCGCTACCAACATAACTCCAGGTGCAATGCCTTATTTATCATGGTATCCGTGTATTTAAACTATTACTTTGGCTATATATCTGCCAGCAGGTTTGTGTGCAAAGAAATGTCCTCATAGACGTTTCCTAACTTCGAAAGGTCACCGCACACCTGCCGGCTTTGCTACAATCATATGTTCCCCTGTTTCTCCCATTTTGAAGAGAGACTGAAGGAGGTGGTTTCCTGTGTCACACCAAATCTACGACCGAGAGACACAGGAAGACAGCAAGAGCTAAGGTCAACTTAGAAATAAGTGATTGGGTATCTGTTGAGGACTCAGATGAGCCTGAAAGAGCCGTCTTACTGTAGATTGCATGTAGAGCATCACGTTCGTTCTTCGGTGGTTGGAGGTTTCACCTTTTTGACACAGTTTTCATGAATACATTTCATAATTATCCAGAACAAATTTCTTCCAGACTCTATTTGTTCAGGGGAAAGAAGGGAGGAAATATTGCTTCATTTACCTTGACTGTCAGTAGCTGCATTAACCATAAAATTGCCAGTTTCTAATTAAGAAAATTTGCTAAATGGAAAGATGGCAATTTAAAAAAAACAAAAAAAACTCTGTTTTTGCACTAAATGGGAAGTGAAATTAAAATCTATCTATCTATCTATCTATCTATCTATCTATCTATCTATCTATCTATCTATCAAATTTTATTTGTATAGCATCTTTCAGCAACAAGGCATTTCAAAATGCTCTACATCATAAAAACACAAAATTACAAAGTCATAGAACACACAGCCAACATTATATTTTGCACATCAGATTATTGATTAATGTTTCATGATTAGGTTCCAAAAGCGACTCTAAAACAGCTGAGTTTTTAGTCCAGATATCAAGGAACTCAGTGCTTCATCTGTTTTGCAGCTTCCTGAGAGTTTGTTCCAGATTTGTGGTGATCGACAGCTGGATGTTACTACTGGCAAAAACCACAAAGAAGAAAACAGGAAGTGGTAGGAGGATGATGGTTTTGTTTTTGTTTTTTTTTTCAGACAATGCACAGCTGGTTCCACCAGAGCTCTCACAGCATCGCCCAGTTCATAAAACGTTTTGTGTCATTCACACGTGTTCAGTCCACACCTCTTCTGTAAAATCACTACATACTTAGACACTCCCTAGCATAAGGGGTTTGTCCCTCCAGAACCTGAATAAAATGCCGGCGACTCGTCTGTTGGCTGATATGTGGTGAGCGCTGGCTAGCGCCACGGCTGAGTTATAAATATATTTCATGTAACTGTTTACATCCGTCGTTTCCACCATTTTTAATGACGTGAAGAAGATTATCCACGCGTGATTTTAATTTCACTTCCCATTTAGTGGGACCTCTGCAATTGCGAAGTCGTGTTTTTCGACATTAGCGACAAAGATTTGCATACATTTGTGACGGAAACACAGCTAATAATACGATATTATTGTATTACAATATCAAGGAAGGAAGATGTAAAAACAATCCTAAAGTTTAGAAATTCCTCCACACTAAAACCGTCTCAATAAAGTAAAAGAAATGCTGCATTTATTTGACAGGAACCGATAACGGTCACATCACATTATTTCTTTATGCTGCAAAGCAGACGAGTGTAATATGCCAAATGTTTCTGTCTGAGTTTATGCTCCGGATATAAGAAGAAGAATTTACACTGCTCAAAAAAATAAAGGGAACACTCAAATAACACATCCTAGATCTGAATGAATGAAATATTCTCATTGAATACTTTGTTCTGTACAAAGTTGAATGTGCTGACAACAAAATCACACAAAAATCATCAATGGAAATCAAATTTATTAACCAATGGAGGCCTGGATTTGGAGCCACACACAAAATTAAAGTGAAATGTTCCCTTTATTTTTTTGAGCAGTATGTTTTAAAGCTATTTAGGCAAAGGAATGCCAATAATGGTGGGGTTTTGTTCAGTCAGCTTTCTTTTCTTACCTTTAGATGAACATCCCAGACCTGAGCGTCGTACTGCTGGTGTTGGCAGACGCACAGACCGGCCTGCTGGGCCAGCCGACAAAACAGTGTTAGAGTTTCACCTCTTCCAGGAGCAAACACCAACGCCATGCCCTGAGTGTGGAAAAAAAAGTAATAATAATAATAATTTAATTTCTTCTCAGTTTAGAGCTGAAAAAAAATTAGGGTAACAATTTATCACAGCTTATTTCTGGGTCTTTTTTTTTTCAATGCCTAAAAGCCATACATGTTGCACAATAAACAAAACTCTAAGTCAGAGAAAGAAAGAAGGAATGAAAGAAGGAAAAGTAAAATCAAAGTAGCAATACGTGAACACATGCATCACAGAAATCCTGCAAACGCTCAGAAGCTTAGTAACAGGTTCAAAGCTTCTTTGTAATCCTTCAGCTTTCAGTTTCATTTCATGTTGATTTTTCTTTTTTTCTCTCTCTCTCTCTCTATTAATTAAATGAAGCGACGACGGATGCTGACACAACCTCAAACATTCAATAAACACACAAAGAAACGCACAATCACACATCACGGGTTAAAAGCACACAAAAGGCAATGAAAACAGCAGGATCACTTGCTTTGACAGATGATAATTCATCTGTATATCCAGTCGGATTCTGTCTTTTTCTCCCTCTCTCTCTCTCTCTTTTTTTTTGTTCTCTGTCTAAAAGCCACAAAAGCAAACAAACAGATTCCTTCCAGCTCTAATCAGCTGAATAAGAGGATACAGCCCAACGGATGGACCACCTTTGTCAGAAACAACAAATTAGTGCCATTAGAAGGGAGAAGTAATTGCTTTGTTAATTGTTTAATCAGCTTAGCAAATTATTAAATATTTGCCAAAGCTTGTTGTGGCAGCAACAGTCTGATGGCCCACACTCAAATCATATTAGCCCCCCGAATTATCTCCGCCGGATTAAAGGCAGAGACACGAAGAGCCTTAACGCACAGCTGTATGGTGGCGGCCAGATGTCGCGCCAGTCATTTGTCAGCTTTCAGCATTAAAACCACAGCGGCTCACTTATCCCGTCAGCAACGTGAGGGAAAGCTACTTCCATCGCTACCTTCGTGTCTGCACCGCTTCTCTAAGGCGCATTCCAACATTCAGGTTTAAATTTAATGCCTTACACAAATCGTGAAAAACAACCAACAAGATGTCTGACTTATGAACATTTGCGTGTAACTTTAAGACCTTTCAACAGAAGCTGTGAAAGCTCGCCTAAACATTAAGTGCTTGTTGGGAAGTCTGGAGGCCTGGGAATAAATTCCTTTCAGCACCGTTTCCTGTTTCCCTGGATTATTTGGGGTTTTGTAGTTTTCTGACAGCGTAATCCCAGCTGACTTCCTCGAACGGTTAAACATTCCCAAACATGGGAATTCTGTATGTATTCAGACCTTTTAGGATCATACACCAGGGTGTTCACATAGAAAAGAAGAAAGTTATTTTATGCTAGTGTTCTGAGGAGCTTTAGAAGAGTGATTGGTTATTTCATCCGTTCATCTTTTTCTACTTTTGTAGTTCTCTACACGACTTTTTCTTGGTGCAGAAAGCTGCCATCTTTGATGAGTGTTTCACACCCGCTTAGACGATTGATGATTTAAAGTACACTCTTAGATACCTCCAACTCTCTGCCGTACAGAAATGTGGTTCTATGACTATAGAAATAAAGTACAATAATAATAAATGCAAGCAGCTCATGAGCAAGACAGAATCATCAGGCCAGAAAATCAGTGATGAACAATCCTTGGCTTTAGGAGGGTACATTTTGCTAAGGGGTGAATTAATTTAACTCTTGTTAAAGTTATCAAAATTCACTGAGAAACTGTTTAGGATTCAATTTTATTTTAAAAACATAATCCTGAACCCTTCCAATCAAGTTTTTACACTGTAATTATATCCAAAAGATGTGAAGACAAACAAACAACAACCAAAAAAAATATTTACAACCTTCCTAGTAATAAATAAATTCCACTACAGCAACCATATAATTTCTTTGTGTCATTATTCCCTCCTTCTCCTCCTCCTCCTTCTTCTTCTTCTTCTTCTTAACATCTCCTCGCTTCATGTAGCGTTTCCCTGGACTGATCTCCCCTATGGCCGTTTGGCCTCTGTACTTGAACAAACCCCGTCTTCCCTCAGATGAATTGAATCTCAACCCTATCTCTTCCACCACCGCCCCCATATTTGCTTTGACTGTCACAGCATGGGGTCTTATCGCAGGGCCAAAAGGGAGAAGTTGCCTTGGATTTATGATTAAGGGAACGGAACGGAAGAGGAAGACCGAGATCAGAGCACCGCATTCAAGTTGCTCATAATAAGCATTAAAGTATTACATGATATTAACCCTGTTAGACTATTAATGTGTGTAGTAGGGGTTGTGAGGGGGAGGGAGGGGATGCCTAATTATGATTGAGAGAAGGAGGGGAGGTGGGTTGGGAGGGAGGGGATAAGCAGATATATACAGTAGACACACACACACACACACACACACGCATACTTACGTTGGGTCGCAGTAATCTCCTTATGGCATCAACCAGGCAGGCTCTGTACTGGTCGAGAAACAAACTGAAAGGGAGATGGAGGCTCAGGTTAGAATGAGTTCTGCAGATGGCAGGGCCGATAAAGCCGCAGGCTATTTATTTTTTTTTATTTTTTTATATTTTGCTTGTGCTTTGTTTACTAATAAATTCACAGAGAGGGAGAGGAGAAAAACAATTTGCATGAGTAAGATGCTCTTGGCCTGTTTTCCACGAGCAGCAGCCGCCTCGGCCCGGTGCCGAGGCGCTAAGAAGAAGAAAGAAGGTCAAAAAAAAACATCCAGTATGCACAGATACCATCGTATATATATATATATATATATATATATATATATTTTTTTTTTTTTTTTTTTTTTTTCCCCCACAAAAATTTTAAAAGGGCATTTTGAAAAAATTAAAAGCAGACCCAAAATTAAGAGGGGA